AAAAAAAAAAAAAAAAAAAATAACAAACAAATAATAAAAAAAAACAGTCCTAAATCGGAAAGCGGCCCTAGGCCCTGAATGCCCAAATGCTAAGGCCCTAAACCCTAGCCCTAAAGCAAACAAGGCCTTCGACTCTAAATTTGAAGCCTTAGCTGGACCCTTAAGAACCTCCCTTTTTACGGGTTATGGTTGCCTTATATGAGTCCTTAAAAAAGGTACTTTGGGGTCTAGGTAAACCTTAAATCCGGAAAGACCAGCTCCATCATAGGCGCCGCTGCCACGCCTGGAGATCACAAGTGAAGCCTTAGAGGCCTTGCCGGGTTTAGGGTTTCGGGTTTANNNTTTGGGTTTTGGGGTTTAGGTTTAGGGTTTTGGGTTTTGGGGTTTAGGTTTTGGGTTTAGGGTTTTGGGTTTAGGGTTTAGGGTAGGGGCATGTCACGCAACAATATAGTTATAAGATGGATTTGGGTGTAGAACTTTCCGTTTAGAGTACAAATATTTGTAATACCAACAATCACAATACTCCTTTCTCTTTGATTTCGTATTTTGATCGTTCGGGTCTCAGGTTTTTCAAGCAGGGTTTGCGGCTTCGTGGCTCTGATTGGGCTTTTCAGCAGTTGCTGTGCGTTTTAGCCTGAAACTTCTACGACTACGACGGATGGTGGGCGGCTTCCCACACCTGGCAGTTTGGAGTTTGGACTCACGGTTTAGGGTTTGGGGTTTTAGGGTTTTAGGGTTTAGGGTTTAGGGTTCAGGGTTTAGGGTTTAGGGTTTAGGGTTTTGGGATTGGGGTTTAGGGTTAGGGTTGAGGGTAGTTTGGGCTGGAGAACAGGGGTTGGTCAGAAGTAAGGCATTTAGGTGCAGGCGTTGAGACTCTGCGGTTTAGGGTGCAGGTTGCAGGGGCTTGGCAGGGCGTTTGGTATCGGATTGCATCGTTCAGGACTCCGCGAAAGCTCTGCAGCCCAAAACCCGAAACCCGAACGGAACCCTAAACCCTAAACCCTAAACCCCAAACCCTAAACCCTAAACCCTAAACCCTAAATCCCTGAACCCCTAAGCCCTAAACCCCATAAACCCTAAACCCTAAACGAGGACATTCGGGATAAGTGATTCGGGTAAAATTCTGCCCAGTCCCCTCGCCGGGTTGTGCCTCGGGCCAGCATGGCTTACAAAAAAGAGCTTGAACCCAGATGTTTCGGGTTTAGGGTTTAGGCCCAATCCTTTTCCTTGATGGCTCTTGTTGCAAGACTGCATGCTCACTCGGCGAGCTCAAGAATCCACTGTTTGCTGTTGTTCTGAACCCTACCTGTAACCTGCAAATTCTAGGTTACGAGACCAGAAGTAGAATGAGAGGCAAACTCTAAACCCTAGCCTCCATGAAACCTTGTAGAACCCTCAGACAAACACAAAGACGTTGTAAAACCCTACAAGACCCTGGCTGCATCTTCTGCACGACAATCCTCAATAAACCCCATGCAAACCCTAAACCTTGAAAGCTGACCGAGATGCAGACGCGAAAAGGCGACCAAACACAAGTAAACATTAAACCCTAAACCCAAAGCCCAAAACTCTAAGCCCAGAGCCCTGAACCCTAAACCCTAAGCCCTAAACCCGAAGCCCTACACCCTAAACCCTGAGCCCTAAACCCTTATAAACCCCACCTAAGCCCCTAAACCCCTAAACCCAAAACTCTTCGCTCTTGTGGCAGGCGTTGATCACGCGCTGGACTGCCGAAAGTGGTGTCAGGCGTCAGCTCGGATGAACGCTAATATAGAGGCCTTCATAAGTAGAATAGGGCTTAGGATTTGGGGCTTAGGGTTTAGGGTTTAGGGTTTAGGGTCTATTACACCAGAATTATAACAAGGAGCCCTCAAAACCCTATTCCAATTATTAAGGACCCCGCATTATATAACACTAGTGAAGGAATAAATCATTCTAGGTTTAGGGTTCAGGGGTTTAGGGTTTAAGGGTTTAGGGATTTAGGGTTTAGGGTTTAGGGTTTAGGGGTCTGGGGTTTAGGGTTTTAGGGTAAGGGATCCATAGAATATAGGGTTTAGGGTTTAGGAGAAGATCCCTTAGTTATGTAAGGAATCTACCTTAAATCATACAAAGGGTCCTACTATAATTTCAGGCGTGTTCCTCAAGAGAGGGATATTTTGGAATTGCTGGGCAAGCCCTAAAAAACACCCTGCGAGCACAAACCCGCAACCCTTTTTCGTCAGGGGACGTGGAGTCTGCAGACGGAACAGGGTGCCCCCGAAAAAAGGCCCGAATATACGGACTTAAATAATTACCTCTTATTATTTGGGTGGCTCCTCATTATTATTATAGCATAATGGACCCCCAAACCCTATTCTAATTATTAACGCCCCTACATTACATAAATCCAGAGCCCCAACCCTCTAAACTCCAAACCTTGGAGACTTAAATCCTAAACCCCCACCCCTATAGACTCTAAGCCTTAATCCAGACTGCACAAACGCTAACTATAAACCCCAAGCCGCACCCTAGAAGCCCTAAGCCCTGAAACTTAACCCATTTGTAGATCCTAAGCCGCAAGCCCTAGACAAAAGCCCAAAAATCCCTGAGTATAGTCTCCCCCGACGCAATAAAAACAAAATAGGCAGAGAGAAGGCCACCAGCCCTCACCAAGCTCAAAATTTGGCTACTTGGGTTTAGGGTTTGGGCTTCGGGTTAAGTCGGGTTTAGGGCTTGTGTTTTTTGAGGGCAGTGCCTCTTTATGGGTACTTGGACCTTTGCGTAACATCAAAAGTAACGTGCAGATGATTGCAGAATACAGACCTTCTCACAATCGTGCGCAGCCGAGACCATAATACGGTGTCATCTGAAATAGAATCGGACCGCCGCTTGCAATCCTAGCTCTAACGTCAGATCTGTAAAACCCTGTAAATCCGCCTCAATTGGCGAAAGTTCAACCCCAACTAATATAGGAGCCTTAATAATTAGAGAAGGGTTACGGGGTAGATTATACTACAGTTATAAGAAGGAAACCCCAAAACCCTATTCGGATTATTAAGGCCCCTACATTGCAAGCCCCAAAATTCTCGCAAAATTCACACTGGCGATCAAAAGGCTCTTGAGCAGCTGCTTTTTTACGCGCGGCCGCTGGGACGCAAAATAGCAGAAAGAATCCCTTGAAACTAATCACGAGGGTTTAGGGTTTAGGGATTTAGGGTTTAGGGTTTAGGGTTTATTGGAGGTGCCAGACAATCTCCGACCCGAGCTATACTTGGCCGCGGCTCTCAAGATAAGACCGAGAGCTGCAACATTATGGTCGATTACCTAACGACGCATTGGTGAGCTCTTCCTTCACGGCCCAGACCAGGGTAGCCGGTGAAACCGTCAAACCCTGATCTCCGGTTTAGGGTTTAGGGTTTAGGGTTTAGGGTTTAGAGTGGCTATTGCTCTTTACAGGAGCTTACCCAGAGCGGCGCAAGATGCCATACTGAGTGAAGTGGTCACTGCCGCGTACACCCGATGAGCCTTGAATCTGAGAAACCAATCTCGCATGATGGGAGTCGCAAATGCGCGGCTTCACTGATTCAAACATACCGGAGGTCTCTTTTGGTAAATCGACAAACTCCCCAGCTCTAAGCCTTGAGCTCACTGAATCCCATATTCCACATCCTCAGCTCCTCTTAGCTGCAGACCTTTTCCTGAGTCCAAGGCTTGTAGACTTGTAGCCCTGAAACAGCTATGAAATTCGTGTGCAGCAGCAGCAAACCCATCTGAAAGATTACTCTAGAAACTCCCCTCGGCAACCCTGAACCCTCAACTTTCAACAAGCAAAACTTGCACCCGAGAAGTTGAAGCCCGGAAGCTCCAAATCCCTAAATCCGATACCCCTGATTATGGAACACATCTACTTTTTGTAGACCTGATGTGGAAACCCTACGAAATCCCAAGTCTAAACCCTAAGCCCTAAACCGGGGAGGTCGCTGGAGCGTCATTTGGCACAGTGCCGGCCCCGGGCGGTTATTGGGTGGTAATGGTTTAGGGATTTAGGGTTTCCTTGCATCCAGTAGCCGAGTAATCGTAGTGTTTTGGCCTAGCTGGGCTTCATGTAAGCCCCAGGGACAGCTTGGGGTTGGGGTTTGGGCTTGCAGCGATAAGGTTGTTTGGGGTTGAAACCCTAAACCCTAAACCCTAAACCCGCTAAACCCCCTAAACCCTAAACCCCTTAAACCCCCTAAGCCCTAAAGCTTAAACCCTACACCCTAAACCCCCTAAAGCCTAAATCCAAAATCCTAAATTGATCTTAACTAAGCCAAGCGACTCTGAGGCAGGGTTGGAGAGTTCCTGGGCTTTGAAGTGCCATACTTTAGGGTTCAGGGTTTAGGGGGTTTAGGGAGGGGGGTTGAGGGGGTTTAGGGGGTTTAGGGGGGTTAGGGGGTTTAGGGGGTAGGGGGTTTAGGGGGTTTAGGGGGTTTAGGGGGTTTAGGGGGTTTAGGGGGTTTAGGGGGTTTAGGGGGTTTAGGGGGTTTAGGGTTTAGGGCGGGTTGAGGGGGTTAAGGGTTTAGGATTTTGGCAACCTGTTCCTTAAAGGAACCAATACGAAGTATAAGTCCATTCTTGTTTCTTCCTGGTTACTTTAACGCCCAGGTCCTGTGGGATAAGAGTTTGGGGTTTGTTAGCCAATTCCTTTTTTTCGCTTCCATAGAAAACCTATAAACTATAAACTAAACCGTAAGTCCCTCTTTCTATTATCTTCCGGTCCCTACATTAGATGCTTAGGACCTCCTGGGTGCGGGTGTAGGAGTGCTGAGGGTCTAGAGCTTTCGGGCTTCAGGTATAAGGTTAGGGCCTTGGCATTGGGTTCTTTTCCTAGCATCTTGGGAGAGTGTGGTGTTGTTTTGGATGTTGGGGTTCAGAGTTGCTAGTTCTAGGGCGCAGGCCTCAAGGCATGGAAGGGGGATTCGGGCTTTAGATTGAGATGCCATTGATGGTGATGGTGATGACTGTTTAGGGGGTTGAGGGTTTAGGGTTTTCCGGTTTCGATTTTTCGCATGGACGCCCCCCAACCCCCCCGCCCCATGAAGAGTGGCGGTCCGGACGGGCCACTGCCAGGGAAGCTGCCGATTCACCAACACCAACCCAGAAACTTCTTGCAACCAACGCCCCGAAACCCACTAAATCCGCCATCATAAAGCTGAAACCTTGACGCCATAAACCCGAAGCCCGCAACCCACGGTGAACCGCACGGTGAACCCTACACTCTTCATGATCCTAAAACCCTACCTAAACCCTAAACCCCTAAACCCTAAACCTATCTAAACCCGAAGCCCTAAACCCTAAACCCATCTAAACCCTAAGCCCTAAACCCATCTCAACCCTAAGCGCTGAACCCATCTGAACCCTAAGCCCATCTATATAAAGCCTACGCCCTAAACCCTAAACCCTAAACCCATCTACAGCCCTAAACCCTAAACCCTAAACCGCTAAACCCATCTATAAACCCAAAGCCCTCCTTGCCTGCAGTTCTTTTCATGGACTTCGACGACGTGGAGGGCGCCCAAGAGAAGTTTGGCCTTGAGGACACCGCAGAGTACAAACAATTCGTTGCCACCATAGCCAAGCGCGACAGGACAAGTCCCATGCGCCTTCTGATGGACCAGAAGAACGGCTATGGATACAGCGGTTTGTACCAGAGCGGTATTCGCGATGACTTCCCAGGGCCCATCAATGCACGCCGCATGCATGACTGTGAGTGAACTTAGTCAATTTTCCGTCAGGAGAACTATTCCACCCGCGTTCCGCAGCTGACACCGGAACAGCTGGCAGAGGTGCAGCACATCAACTGGCGTGTTCGAGCTGATCGACATGCTGGCCAGAAGTTCTATCTTTCTGAAGATGATCTCTTCCGGCAAATAGCCCTAAACCCATCTAAACCCTTAACCCTAAAGCTTAAACCAAACTAAACCCGAAGCCTTGAACCCTAAAGCCCCAAACCCTAAACCCGTCTACACCCTAAGCCCTAAACCCTAAGTCCATCTAAGCCATAAGCCCCCAAACTAAACCCTAAGCCCTAAACCCTCAAGCCCTAAACCCCTAAAGCCCTAAACCCTAAACCCATCTAAACCCGAAGCCCTAAACCCTAAAGCCCGAAACCCTAACCCATCAAAACCCTAAACCCCTAAACCCTAAACCCATCTAAAGCCTACGCCCTCCTTGCCTGCAGTTCTTTCCATGGAGGGGGAAATATGGTCTGAAACCCCTAAACCCTAAGCCCCAAAACCTAAACCCTAAACCCTAAATCCTAAACCCTAAACCCTAAATGCTAAACCCTAATCCCGAAGCCCTCTTTGAGTCCGACTGGGCGTAAGGATTTGCCGCTGGGCTGCGCTCAGACTACAGGCCAGCTACCGGTGAGGGGTTTGTTCAAGAGTTCGGAAGGTGACATCCTGAGCCTGACAGGTTTCGGGTTTAGGGCTAGGGGGGTTTAGGGGGTTTGGGGTTTTAGGGTTTAGGGGTTTAGGGTTTAGGGTTTAGGGTTTAGGGTTTAGGGATTTAGGGTTTAGTTTGGTTTAGGGTTTAGGGTTGAGGGTTTATAGGGTTTAGGGTTCAGGGTTTAAGGTTTAGGGATATCGGAAGGGCTTTAGGATCGTGGTTCAATGGGTTTTCTGAAGTGTACTTGGGATAGATAACCAGTATTTGGAAGGGGTTTGTGGGCTTCAAGGGTTCAAGGCTACCCTAAACCCTAAACCCCAAATCCCAAACCCTAAACCCTAAACCCTAGACCCTAAACCCCCTAACCCTAAGCCCTAAATCCTGAATCCTAAACCCTAAACCCTAAACCCTAAAACCCTAAACCCCTAAACCCTAAACCCTAAACCCCCCAACCCTAAACCCGAAACCCTAAACACCTTAATCCTAAACCCGAAACCTGTCAGGCTCAGGATGTCAGGCTCAGGACTCGGTTTCAAGTAATCTAGGGGTTTGGGGGAGATTTAGGATTTTGGGGGTTTAGGGTTTAAGGTTTAGGGTTTAGACTATTTTTTGGGGGATTCCTTATTATGACTCTAGTCTAATTTGGCCCCCAAAGCCTTATTTCAAATTATGAAAGGCGCCTACACCCTAAACCCTTATAGTAGCTCTTATACTTTAAGGAACCGTTTAGGCCCCTAAACCCTAAATCCTAAACCCTTGTACTAACCCTTTAAAGGAAGCCCAGTTCTAGGACGAGGAGCCCCCCTTTTTTTAACATATCGACTCCCAAGAGTCACAGCAGGGGGGCAGGGCTGGGAAAAAACAAACCCGGAAGGTCTGGAGTTCGAGATTTTGAGTTTAGGAATTTGGGGTTCAGGGTTTAGGGTATAGGATATGGGGTTCTTAGCATTTTGGGTTTACGATTTGGGTTCAGAGTTTAGGGTTCAGGGTTTAGGATTTGCGGTTTTGAGTTTAGGATTTTGGGTTTAGGATTTAGGATTTTGGGTTCGGGGTTTAGGGTTTAGGATTTTGGGTTTAGGGTTTAGCGTTTCGGCTTTTGGGTTTAGGATTTTATCTTAAAGGGTCCCGCGTACCTATAATTTTAATAGAATGTAGGGTTTCTATATGAGGAATTGCGATTCTGCTTTGGGTAAAAAGTATCCCCCAGAACGGTACCTGTACCCTTTGGGATACTCGTAGGGTTTGGAGTCTGGAGCTTAATTTGATAAGCTTTTCTCGGCTTAGGGCTTCGGGATTTAAGGCTTCGGTTTTCGTACTTGAGGTCGAGGTCCTGGGTAAGGGTTTGAAGCCAGACTTCTGCAAATGAGTGTGCAGCCATATCAGGTGACGTGCATACGTCCGTAAGACTGTTGCAGGCAATGGCATTGATCACAGCAGTGCGACTAAACTCAGCCAGACCAGCACAATAGGATCGGCCGTGTGACAAACATGAAGTTTCGTGTTCGTGGTTACATGTGCTAGCCGGACCAGTGAAAGCTGGTATGCCCCCAAATCACCCAAATCCATCAAAGGTAAATCGGGAGGAGTCCATCCTAAACTCTAAACCCTAAACCCTAAACTCTAAAACCCTAAACCCTAAACCCTAAACCCTAAACCCTAAACCCTAAACCCTAAACTCTAAAACCCTAAACACTAAATCCTAAAGTACTCGGACTCCAAGGGCAAACAGAGCAGCAGAGCATCTTGTTCAACCCGAGTCGGTTCTTCCTTTTGGGGGTTTTAGGGTTTGGGGTCAGAAGTCAGTGATCAGTCTTGGTCTTCGACAAGGCCTACAGTACTACAACCTACAAACTAGTGGACCCTTGGTTTAGAGCTTTAGGCTTTCAGGAGTCCGGGTTTCAGTTTTAGCTTTATGGGTGACGGAATACCGCTTTGGGGGTATTAGCGATCGCAGGTTTGTTGCTGACTGAACTGGGAACCACGGTTTGATTCTTGTAGACTCCGCTACTTGTAGACTAGACCACACCCCACCATTCCGTCCAGGGCGTGGACGTACCCACCGGACTCGGCCGGGAATCCGTGCGGCAGGCGGCTCCGAATTGCCTTCTATGCACGTACGGCTCAAGTACACTGGGAGTATTTGTGTGTAGCGAGCTTGCAATTTTGTTCTATGTGGAGGCTTGCTATACAGCAATGTTCTTGCCAGGTAGCTCGGTATTCATGGGTACCTTTATCATGCACCCTAAACCCTAAGCCCCAAATCCAATCTTTATTTATGTCTGTTCCGCACTGACCGCGGCTGAGCTCACTACAAGACTGCTTTATCTCTGCCACCTATCACGAGTTCTAAGAGGTGGCTTCGCTCCGCTTCATGCCAGTGGAATAGTCTCTGAACCTGTTTCGTATTGAAGGTTAGATTTACCCATCGGCCCCATAGTAGTTCCTGTTTGGGATGACCTAATAGGATCCTAAACATAAGCCACAAAAGGGAACTACCATGGGGCCTATGGGTACTCCGACTTTTGCCAAACAGAGTTCGAGGCATCTTTTCACGCAAGGAGTGGAACCTGTTATTCCAAGGGTGTGGGTCTGTATACTAGGAGACTTTCTTTAGGCCCTACAAATATATTCCTTACACGATGACTATATAAACTTTCAATCAACACGAAACCCTCAACCCCTAAGAACCAAAAACCCCACAGAGGTACATGTCAATGAGAAGTGAGAGAACCCTTGAAGGGTTGCTGTCGGATCCCCCTCTCTGAAGCCTTAACCTGCAAGCCCTAAACCCGAGAACCTTCAAAAAAGCCCTATAGCCCCTAGAATTAAACCCTATATAAACCCTTTCTAAACTAGTCTAAAGCCGATATAAGCCCGATATCGATATAAGCCCGACATAAACCCGAAAATACCCTAAACCTTAAACCCCTAAAGCCTAAACCCCAAACCCTAAACCCCAAACCCTGAACCCACAACCCTAATCCTAAACCCTAATCTCAAACCCTAAACCCCTAAAGCCAAAAGCCTGGGCCTGAACCTCGCTGTTGGTCCCAGGAGGCACTTGCGAATAGCGGGCCGGATCCGCAGGGGCGCATCAAGGCCCGGCCCTTCTGGAGCAATCAACATGTCCCCTCTTCGCTGAACCTGTTGGGAGTATCTGTGTATCTATCCGTCTATCCATCTATCTCTCTATCCATCTATTTATCCATCTGCCTATGTATCCATCCATTTATCCATCTATCGATTTATCCATCTATCTATCTATTCTATCTATCCACCCATCTATCCATGTATCTATCCATCCATCTTTCCAACCATATATCCATTTATTTGTCTATCTATCTACCTATCTATATATCCGTCTATCTATCCATCCATCTATCCATCCATCCATCCATCTATCTATCTGTGTATGTATCCATCTAGCCATCTATCTATCTATCTATCTATCTATCTATCTATCGGTCGATCCATCTATCTATGTATCCATCTAGCCATCTATCTACCTATCTATCTATCTATCTATCTATCTGTCTATCTATCTATCTATCTATCTATCTATCTGCCTACCTATCTATCTGCCTACCTATCTATCTATCTATCCATCCATCCATCCATCTATACATCTATCCATCTACCCATCAATCCATCTGCGTATCTATCTATCTATCTATCTATCTATCTATCTGTCTATCTATCTGTCTATCTATCTATCTATCTATCTATCTATCTATCTAACTGTCTATCTATCTATCTATCTATCTACCTATCTATATAGACATATTTGTATGCTTGTATTCCTATGTATATAACTATATATATATATATGTATATATACACACATGTTTACAAGTTTAGAAGGGCGTCTATAAGGGCTTGTTTGAGAAGGAGCCTGCGCAGGATCTACAAAGGGTTCTATAAGCAGTACTATGATATACTATGAGGAAGCCCCATGGTGACAAACAATAGGGAACGACAGCGGTCGTCCACGTTGATATCTTTTTGCCAGCTTCACGCCGTTGAAGGGTGCAAGCAGATTGCGAGGGGATCCTCCTTGCAAGCCGCCAAGCCTGCAAGAAGCTTCTCTAGATCGTAGAGGGGCTAAGCGATCTTAACCTTTCTGAATGTCTAGAGTGCTTCAAGTGCCGTGAAAGACGCACGCAGATCGTGGCAAGGTTCAAATGGACCACTTGCCTCACATCTTGGGTGTCGAGCACTTTGAACCCGTCGCAGCACCCAGAATTTGGGGCTGGGGTGGCTGCGGTGCCGGAACTAAAAGATCGTCGAATCGTCGATGACGGGGATCAGGATAATGTCGATGATGATTAGAAGTTGCTCTTAGCACATTGCACTAAGAGTACGCGCTGGGCCTCCTTGTCTGTTGGGGCCAAACAGCCCTTGAACGGAGCATTGTGAGTGCAGTCGGGCCCACTTATCCTACAACGCGATGAGCTGGAATGTTGATATCTTTGTGCACAGCATTTTTACATCCTTGCTATCAGTACCTTCATGGCACAACGAGACCGATGAAAGAGGGGCTTAAATCCATACCACGGACGATGAATCAGATGTCTCCTTTCTCCTTTATCCCGTCTCTGTCGCTTTTGTCCTAAACCCTAAGCCCTAAACCTGTAGGGAACTGTAGAGCTTCAAGTCCCTCCAGCGCTTTGTACCTGTAGTCTCCATTGTAGTTCCTTTTGGGGGCCCCCTTATAGGATCCTAAGTATGGAGCTGGCTTAACCAGAAAAAGGAACGACGCTTGAAACTATGTGGGTAGTTTTTCTGAATTAGGGTCCCTTTTTGGTCCCCAACTTACGGCACCCTTACAAAAAAGGACCCCAAAAGGGACCCTAATTTAGAGAACTACCCATATGCAAGCCCCGGAGATTCCCAAAGCTGCAACTCCTGAGCCCCGCAGCCCAGAGAGACCAGTCGCCCTTTGAGAAAGCGAAAGGAAGATCGTGGTTTGCACTTGCAACATAGCTACTGAATACATGTATATATATATATATATAGATGTATGTACATATGTACATATGTACATATGTATGTATGTATGTTTGTATGTAGGCATGTAGGTATGTATGTAACCGTGAGCGCCGCTTTGGAATTATTCGACATGTTTTGGGGTTTAGGGTTTAGAGTGTTTGTCTGTTCTCCTTTTTGTAGTCATGTTTTTACAATGGCTTAACTACCAGGGAGCTGTTTAAATGGTGTTAAACAAAACTTGGTGTCGGGTTTATGTAGTGTAGATAGATCCTGATCAATACTCCGGCTTTTCTGAAGGAACAGTTTGGTTCCGTTTTACAGCCTTGATTACACCCGGAAGACTTCTAATGTAGTGGCCTTAATAATTACCTATACTATTTACGGGGTTCCTGATTATAGATATAGTAAAATATACCAGATATACCCAAAAACCCCTATTCTAAGTATAAAGGCCCCCACTCTAAACCCTAAACCCTATTAGCAGTATTAAGGCCCCTGCAATATAGTGCGAGACCCCTAAACCCTAAAACCCGAAACCCTAAACCCTAAACTGGGACCTTGCCAAGGACCTGGCAGAACGGCTAGATGTCGGCTTCAAGCTCAGCTCCCTTGCAGAGAGCTTGGGGCTTTGGGTTTTGGGTTCAGGGTTTCGGCTTTAGGGTTTAGGGTTTAGGGTTCAGGGTTCAGGGTTTAGGGTTTAGGGTTTAGGGTTTAGGGTTTAGGCTGCTGGTCTGAACTGCGACGGTTTCGGGTTTGGGGTTTAGGGTGCTCTAGCTGGTGTCTTTGCCGATCCACACATCCAGGTTCCGAAAAAGATCTTTGTCAGTCTGTAAACCCTAAACCCTAAACCCTAAACCCTAAACCCTAAACCCTAATCCTTGTAAGTTTGTAAACTTTTACATCCCATGATCACTGCCCAGAAGCCCGAACCATGCAGATCAACACCCGGAAACGAATGGTAATTACAATTATAATAATACTGACAGTAACAATAGGGCAATAATAGTATTAAAGTATTAACAGTAATAATAAGGAATACCGAAGTATAGGGCATAGTTTTCTGAAAGCTCCTGCACAACCCATCAACGGATCTTGAGCTAGATCATCATTCCCTTATACAGCCCCAAAAGACCCTGCACAACCCTAAACCGAAAAAACCCTAAACCTAAATAAATACCCTAAACCCTAAACCCCCAAACCCTAAACCCTAAACCCTAAACCCTAAACCCTTAACCCTAACCACAGCCCTGAACGCCAAGGTGTGGCCATGGGCCTCAGCGTGTCCGCAGTGGGCGGCCAGCTTCTCTTCATCGAAGCAACCAAAACGGCCGGAGGACCCGGCTTAGGGCCTTTGGGGTTTAGGGTTCGGGATTAGGGTTTGGGATTAGGGTTGTGGGTTTTGGGGTTTTGGGGTTTTGGGTTTTGGGTTTTGGGGTTTGGGGTTTTGGGTTGGGGGTTTAGGGTTTTGGGTCTAGTGTTTGATATAGAAGCCTAAATCATTACCTATACTATTCCGCAGGGGTCCTTATTATAATAAAAGTATACGGGGCCCCAAAACCCTATTCTAGTTATTAAGGCTTCAGGATATCCGGTTTTGGGTTTATCGTTTAGAGTTTTGGTTGGAAGCTAAGGCGCGTTATTTTGTGGTTTGGGGTTTACGAGTGAAAGGGCTTGCGGTTAAGGGTTTTGGGTTGGTTCGCGGGTTGCATGAAGGGCAAAATGCATGAGCCCCTATAAACCCTACTAAACCCTGCCTATAGTCTTCATTGTAGTTCCTTTTTGTGGTTCCCTTATAGGATCCTGAATATAAAATTGGTTTAACCAAAAAAAAGGAACTACAATGGAGACAGCCTAAACCCTAAAACCTAAACTCTAAACCCTAAGCCCTAAACTCTAATCATTAAGGGAGACTGTAAGTAAGCCCTAAATAAGGCTGGAAGATAGTCAAGGGAGGACTTCTATGAAATTTCTTTGACCGGGTGATCCATGATCCAACTCATCGGTTCTTGTTACTCTATGGGGGTGGGTTGATAGCTTGAAGTGGGTTATGGAGGGGTTGAAGGTTATCTGTTTTGTTGGGGCAGTTTGGGGATTTGCGTGTTTTAGAGGGTTCGGGGCTTCCGGTGTTGGGTTGAAGAAGTCGCAGGGGTTTGGGGTTTGGGGCATTTCGAGAAGAAGGAGCTCTCAGCTCACATAGCGAAGTCGGGGATCAAACACCCTAAACCCTGAATCCAAAACCCCTAAATTTCCCTCAATGTCGAAAGGTCTTGCATCAAAAGGCCGCCAAAGACGACCTGGGGTTTGGGTTTAGGGTTTTATGTGGTCTATGGAGGCCCTTCTGTGCATCGACAGTTGAAGATGCCTTTCCAGTCAGGTGAGGGTTCAGGGGCTCAGGGCTGTAGAGAATGCAGGGTTTGCTGAAATCTCAACCCCTACCCCCTAGAAGGGGTTAGCCTGAACCCTAAACCCCAAACTCCTAAACCCTAAACCCTGAACCCTAAACCCTAAACTCCTAAACCTCACCTCTCAACCGGGAAGATGGATAACTGCAGAAGACGGAGGCCTCCCGCGATCCACGGCGTCCCAAATGCAA